CTGGGTCACACAGTGTTACAGGTAGAAACAGTAGCCAAATCTCCTTGTCTCAAAATCTTAAACTTAATTTATACTTCAGATGGGCAAGGTATATGGATTTTTGTTTTTTAAATAAGCTCTATGCCCAGTGTGGGTGGCTCTTGAGCTCTCTGAGATCAAGAGTCACATGCTCTACCAACTGACCCAGCCAGTGCCCCAAGGTATTTGGATTTTTAAAAGTAATTTGTATTTAGTTGGATGTAGTCTCATAGTATAGTATATATAGTATCGTGTAGTATAGTAGTGATACTACTGGTCCAGATAAATGGTTTCTTTAGTACCACCCATCTTGACCCAGCAAAAGTTCATTGGGTATGGCTCCGGAGTCTGGTGCAGACTCTCAGACCAGTGTACACCTTAAAAGGTCAAAATTCAAGGAACCAGAGAGATATGTTCATTCTGACCAATAAAATATCTTGGCAGCATCCAGTGACATATAAGGGTAGGGTCTGCTATTCTCGGATGTACTGGTGATGTAATTTCTAGTATAAAATAATGCGAAGTCAGCACAAGGGTGGTGTGAGTAGAAATTTCAATAAACCTTGTGCTCATTTGTGTGTCTAGTTCTAGCAAGACAAGATGGCTAGACATGGTCTCTGCCCTCAGGGAGCTCAGAGTCCAGTAAATGACCAGTTTGTGGTTTCTACCAAAAACTTGGGGAAACTAAGAAGGTCTAACACAAATGTGAAAGGTGAGGAAGATTTCTCTTAAAGACTTCATGATGGGGTGCCTGGGTGGCTCAGTCAGTGGAGCATGTGATTCTTGATCTCAGGGTTGTGGGTTCGAGCCCCACATTGGGTGTAGAGATTACTTTAAAAAAAAAAAAAAAAGACTTCAGGAAAACTGAGGCGCCTGGCTGGTTCAGTCTGTAGAGGCTGTGACTCTTGATCCCGTGGTTATAAGTTTGATCCCCACATTGGGTGTAGAAATTACTTAAGAAATAAGATCTTGAGGGGCGCCTGGGTGGCTCAGTCGTTAAGCGGCTGCCTTCAGCTCAGGTCATGATCCCAGGGTTCTGGGATCGAGCCCCGCATTGGGCTCCCTGCTCCTGGGGAAGCCTGCTTCTCCTTCGCCCACTCCCCCTGCTTGTGTTCCTTCTCTCACTGTCTCTGTCTCTCTGTTAAATAAATAAAATTAAAAAAAAAAAAAAGATCTTGGAAAAAAAAAAGACTTCATGAAAACCACATTTAGTGAGTTAACAACAATTACATGCGAATTGTTTTGTAGGGCTTCTTTTGGCATGAAGAAAACAAAAACTGTTTCAGAATGCCTCCATATCCTGTGGGAATATGAGTGATGATTTCATTACCTAATCATGGAAGTGAAAATGAAGGACTGTGCAAGTTCCTGGGCGTGTAATTACAGAGGAATCGCATCTGATCCCATCCCTTGGCATCTTTGCTCAGGGCCAAGTTCGCAAACATGCCCTCAGGAGCGTCGGATTTGATGCTTTTGTGGACAGAGAAATGGTTGAATGGGAGAATTACTTAAAACTGGGTATTACAAAAGTGTGAGTCCCTTTATGTTTGCTTGCTAATTGTACTTTGAGAAGATTTGGGAACGGATTAAGAAGTTGTTTTATTGGGCCAAACATTTATTTTGCTTGGGGAAAAAATAGTATTCTATAAATAAGCTCTTGTAGCCTTTACTGATTTAGTTTGTTCTGAAGAGGACCCTAGCCTCACAATCTGTCAAGCTTTTGAGTAAAGGAACAACTGTATTTGAGATGTTATGTGTAATTCAAATGTGAAAGATGCAGCCAAACTCAAGGAGTCTGTTTCTTTTCTTTTTTTTTTTTTTTTAAGATTTTATTTATTCACTTGAGACACAGAGATACAGAGAGGGAGAGAGAGAGCATGAGCAGGGAGAGAGGCAGAGGGAGAGGGAGAAGCAGGCTCTCCGCTGAGCCAGGAGCCTGATGTGGGGCTCGATCTCAGGACCCTGGGATCATGACCTGAGCTGAAGGCAGACGCTTAACCATCTGAGCCATCCAGGCGCCCCAAGGAATCTGTTTCTTTGGATTCTTTTCCCTAGTGAATTTCAGCGCTGAGTGGGGGTTAAAAATATGAGAAAGTCAATAAATTAGGGAAGATAGCCAGTGGGAAGTGAGAAATGATAACTTATAGGGGAAAGAATAAGAGGGAATATGGGAAGTAATTTCTTCCCAGTAGTAAAAAGTACCTTTTTTTTTTTGCCAGAAAAAAAAATTTTATTTATTTATTCATGAGAGACAGAGACAGAGAGAGGCAGAGGGAGAAGCAGGCTCCCCAAGGAGCAGGGAGCCCGATGCGGGACCCACCCCAGGACCCTGGGATCACAACCTGAGCCGAAGGCAGACGCTTAACCGACTGAGCCTCCCAGGCATCCCCAAATTTATTTTTTTATTTTTTATTTTTTTTTAAAGATTTTATTTATTT